GGCATTCCCTGTCCTTTTAGGTGGCACTAACAGGGTGATGGACCCAAACACACCAGGACACACAGTCCTGGCTGATGCCAACCACTTCAGTCCTGAGTCACTCCTGATCTCCTCATCCTACCATCTTCCAAGACACAGCTGTCCCTTCTCTGCTCCCTTTTCTTGTGGCTATTTAAGGCAGAACTTCCTTTGTGATCCTACTCAAACAATTTTTATTTCCAACCCAGAAAAGACACAGCAGAAACTAAAGAGAATGGTTACTGCAGGCAGTGGGAGTGAGGAGGCGTGACATTTTTCTGAGGACACTGAGACATAGAGCTTTGACTCTACATTCTGTTTGTCTTTAGCCAGTCAAAATTCTATATACTAAGGTTACTTAGGTTAGTTCTTTCAGACCTTGTCCCTTCAATGTGGCTATGTTCATCATTTATAATTTGCCATTAAGTTAATTTGTTGTTTGTACCCCACTTTTGCTCTCCTTCCACCTGTTGGACCAGGACTTCCAAAGAGACCTGGAGAATTCCAGACCAGCAGGAAAGCAATATGGGGTGCTAGCCAGAATGTGGAGACTCATGCCTTCCTCCCTGTGAGATGTGGGCCCACTAAATTCTGCCTTTTAGCACTGTTTGGAAAGCCCCCCAAGAAAACAAACCCTCTTCCCTGTCCTCCCAGGTGGCAGCCACAGAAATCTGGACACAGGCAGACCTCACCCCTCTGACTAGCCCTGGGCCTTGGTGCAGATGAGTCTTGGACAGCATGGGGTATGCTGACATGTGAAGGGGTGGAGAAGCAGAGCTGACTTCCTAGTGGATCCAACAGACCCATCCTCAATTCCAAGTCTGTGTACCCCGTTCATGGTCCCCAGTAAAGACTGAGTCCTCGGTGCTGGCTCAGAAGAGGAACTTAGAGTAGGAGCTGGCCAGTTGTTGGATATTTCAACACTACCCTGAGGGGTGGGGGGCATTCCCAGCAGCTGCTGGAATTTCACAATGGGGACTCCGCTTAACAAGGGGTGGGGGAGGGGGCAGGGTTGGGTTTAGGATGCTGGAGAGACCAGGCCTTGTTTGCCAAACTTCTGAAAAAAAGCAACATCCTGGAGAGAAGAGGGTCACAATGCCTTCCCCTGTCACACTTTCTCCAAAGCCAGCAGAGTTCTGTGGGCAAGTCACACAAAATGTGACTCAACAGATCATCAGACGGAAATGAGCATGCTAGGCCCAGCATGGAGCGACCAAGCTCTCCCTGACCGCCAGGCAGCTCATCTGAGGGGCCCCTTAACCAGACCCTCTCTCCCGCCTCCCTCTCGCTCCCCAGGCCCAGGTCGTGGGCAAGTCCTGACTTTTAAGAAGAGCTTGGGCTGAGCTCTAGGATGCCAGAGAGGCCCACACAGCAAGAACTGCCCAGGCCCTTCAGGGTGTCCAGCTCTTCCATGAAGGCATTGATTGTCCTCATTGAATGGGGGACACTGAGGCCAGGAGGCAGAAGTCAGAGGCCAACTGTCATTGGAAGGGTGCTGGGCAGACACTAGGGTCTGATGCCCTTAAGGACTAGGATGCGACAGGGGTGGTATTGGCTGAGAGTGTTTGTCTGTGTCATGTTTGCATCACGACAGTGTAGGGTACATAGGTGACTCATGCCTACTTCCAGGCAAGACAGACTTGTCTGTCACCTTGGGTCAGGCAGAGGGGTGACTTAAAACCCAGTTCCCATGGTTTAGCCTATGCTCCAAAACAGAGACACCTGGACCCTATACAGTGCACTGCTGCTGGGAGTCCCTGCCTGGGTCACAGAGTGTCCTCGTTCTGGATGAGGCAAGGATGCGCTGAGCAGCTGAGAAAATCAGACATAGTTAGGGCTAGGGTAAGGTTTAGGGTATGAACCCCAGCAACTGGGAGTCCAAACCTCCCCAAGCAAAATCGTGGTACTGGAGTCTTCACTTGTTAGGGTGGGAACACAAGTTGTTTTCATTTTCCCTCTACTAACTGCATCTGACTGCCGAGGACCAACGTACTGTAGTTGTTAGGAACCCAGACACCCTGAGATTGTATTCTGGCTTTGCCACCTCCTGTCTATGTGACATCCAACTCCTCTGTGCCACCACTTACTTGCCCATTCCTTCCTCCCGCCACACCTGGGTCTCACAGAGATAGGGTCAGCCTTCAGCTGCTTACTGTTGGTTTTCCCCACCTTGCTGATGGCCTGCTAGCATGAAGTAGTAACAAAACTGCTCAAACACAGCCTTGTTCCTTGCATATGGCCCCCACCAGGACAGGGAGCACATGACTTTGACTTGTTCCCCTGCAAGCTACCCCTTCTCTGAATTACACTGTTGCTCCCAAGCACCTGGTGCCCACGGCCAGTTTGCTGGTCAAGTAGGTAGTAAACTGAGAATATCATGGCACCGTCCTCACTTGGCAGGCCACCGAGTCTATACAAAAAATTCTCTTAAAGCCCTTCCACCCTGGCTTTGGGGAGACAGAGGGGGCACCTTCCAGAATGATCAGCAATCCCTTTTCTTCCCAATCTTACAATGACAGATGGCACGGTCTTGTGCAACATCTGGACTGTTATCCCTCCAAGCCCAGGGTGGTTGCAGGGCCATTCTGTGGCTCTGTGGCTCTTGTAATTTTATGTAGGGCATTTGGCACTTTTGTCCTTGGAGTTGGGCCCTAGCCACAATCTGGGGAGAGGGAAAAGGTCCTACTTGCTCCTCTGTCTGTTTACACAATTCCCTGCAGCTCTTCCCGCCCCCGAATGCCTTGAACTAACCCTTACCCCTCTGGTTCTCAGCTTCTCCTTCTGTAAAATGAAGGACTGGCCAGAGACACATTGGATCTCCCTCCAAGAACTTGGCTGGGTCTAACTAGGGAGAAAGAAGCTGCGAGGACAAAGGATGGGTTGGTGACATGGAGTCCGGCTGGTTATGTTCGAGGGTCATTCATGTGAAGTGCCTGGTGGTCTGGCTCCTTCAGTAAGAACTGTCAGCTCAGGGCAGATAGGACCAAAATCAACAGGGTCTTGGCCTTAGGCTGCCCCTATGAGCAGAAAGACGAGGCCTCATCTCAGGCTTTCTTCCCCATGGACACTTACTCATGCCAGGTACCTGCACAAATAGTGAAGGGTTGAAAATGGGAAATCAACTCTGTCTGGCTGAGGATAGTGGACTCTCTACCGAGTCCAAAGGTTTATGTGACAGTTGCTGTGAAAGGGCCTAAGAATGCCCCAAGGCCCCGAATCACCAGCAAAAGGTTTCTGGAACTGGAGGAGTGGGGCCTGGGTCAGGGTGGGTCTGAGGCTAACCCAGTCTAGCCTCAAGAGTCTGGGTCTTTGGCAAGCCCACCTCTGCATCAGACCTTGGCACATGTGCTCTGCTCTTTCCGGAATACTCACTTTCCTCCAGGCTTCCTCAACCAGCTTAAAGTCCCTTCTTCAGAGACCCCCCCAAGCAAGCTGGACTGGGCTGCCCATCTGTCTTCTTCCAGCACCATCCTGTTGTCACATGGGTCACCTTCTGGGATTCCCTTTGTCTGTTTAGCTGTCAAGGTCAATGTCTCCCACCCTGAAGCATGCCCATTCTATCCACTGCTGGTGCATGGTAGGTGGTCAGGAAATCAATGACCGGGTGGATGCATGGTTTCACTCTCAGTGCACCTTCTGCATCACAGTGCACAACCCCCTTGGTCATCAATGAAGGGAGCGGGACAGCTCACAAGAGCTTGTTTTTCATAGGGTGTGTGGCCCTCCCAGACTGGAGAAATGGGAGAATTTGCCTATGTGGAGACTCTGTGATCCGAATGCTCCTTTCACCCAACTGGGTTAGGAGTTCAGATCTCTTTACATGTCATTTGCATGGCTCATCTCTGAGCTCTGAGCTTCCTCTTCTGATTTCCTGGTCTGTCCCCAGATCCACAGAGGTGGCCTGCCACTTCCTCAGCTTCCCTGATGACCTGGTGCAACTGCTGAGTGACAGTGTCTGCCTGGAAGGAGTGATTGCAGTGAAATCCCCGAGCACAGGAGCAAGTGTGGCAGAGATGGCAGCATGACAGTGGTCATGTACCCACTGAGACATTTAATCCCCCAATAGTCCTGGGAGGTCAACACCATTGTCACCCCCACTTTTCAGATAAGCAAACCGAGGTTCAGAAAAGTTGATGAATTTGCCCCAAATCTCATGGCTAGCAAATAGCAGGTTCAGACTTGAGTTCCGGTGTGTTGTGCCCAACTTCCTGTCGTGGCTTCCAGAGGACTCGGGGAAGGCTGGCCCTGCTGGAGACTCTCAATTCCCCACCCAGAGCTAAAGTTCTGAAATCCCCTGGTGAGTGGCTTCCAGCTGAGCCACCCAGCCCCTGGTCTGTCCTCAGGCCTCCGAGAAAAAGGATCAGGCGAGGGCTTTTGGTGACTGTGACATCAGGAGCCTCCAGAAAAAGGAAAGAAAAATGAAAAAAGAAGTTAGGATGCAGAAAGGACATGGGCACCCAAGCAAAAAGTGTGGCAGGAGAGGGGTGGAGGCACATGTGAGGACACCCCCTGCCCTGGCACCTCGGCCTTGGGGTGCTCAGCACACGGAGAGAGATGCAGCCCCATCAGTGGAGACCTGGGGGACACACGTCTGGAAATTTAGAAAAAAAACCCGTGTGCTTTTGATCTTCCCCTGGAGGTCCCCTGCCCAGCTGCTTGGGTCTGACCATTCTCTGGGCATTCCCTGGGCACTTGGTGACACTTCCCACTACCTGGTAGAACAGACAGGTCATGTCTTCCTCTCCTCTCTCATCTCTGACCACTTTCTTCCTCCGCCTCCATGATGTTCTGCCACAGGAGTGCTCTGTCCTGCCATCCAGATGTGCCTTCCAGAAGCTCTTCCGCCCTGGAAGCAGCTGGAAGCCCCTTTGTGTGGCCCCCACAGCACCTGAGCTGTAGAGGGCTGGGTCAGGTGTTCCCTTATCCCGGTGCTTCCTGGGAAAGGAGCTTGAGAGACTAACCACTGTCTGTCCCCTATATAGGCAATGACTCAGGATGCAGCCAGGGTCCACGACATGCACGGAGGACCGCATCCAGCATGCTTTGGAGCGCTGCTTGCATGGACTCAGCCTCGGCCTCCGCTCCACTTCCCGGTCAGGTAGGTCTGGGGAAGCTGGGAGGCAGTCAAGGGCCCAAGGAAGCCTCAGGAGCCATGGTAGGCCAGGAATGAAGTTGATGGATTCTGATTCAAACCCTGAGTATGTGACTGATCAAGTCCCTAGACCTCACCTGGGCAGGTGCCCTGATGTACTATACGAGTCCTTGGTATGTGGCTCTCTGCTTCTCCTCGTCTTCCTTGTCCTCCGCAGGCACGTGTTAGAAGCATAGCTCCCCCAAAAAGGCATCAAGCCTGCTTAGAAACACAACTGTTGTTTTCTAAAGAGGAGCCAGGAACTGACAGGCAGATCTCTAGTGGACTTGTTTCTAGTTCCTTCCACAGCCCCACCCTTCTCCTCCCTGAGGACTAAGGGAGAACTTCCACAGACTTGCTAGGAGCAGGAGGCATCTGGGCTCCATGTTCTCAGGACTCAGAGTGTCTGCAGGCTGGACAGTTGCATCCCTGAAGGCGACTGCTGGCAGATTTTTTTACCTCCCATCTCTCATTTGCTTCCCTCACTCTCCTGCACAATAGACACCACTGCTTCTAGAACACATCTGCTTCCTTCCTCCCTGGAGACCTCGCTACCTGGAGCTCTCCCCCCATAACTACATATAGCTGACTCCTTCCTCTGCAGGGCTCAGTTCAAATGTCACCTCCACAGGAAGTGTTCTCTCTACCTGTGGAATTAGACAGAACTCCATTAAAAAATGTGCAACCTGTGCAAGCCATCTATGCTGTCAGGACCCCATTTGCCTTGTCTCTAAAATGGGAAGAATAATTAGAGGAACCATCTTTCTGATGAGAGGGTGGGAGCCTTGACATAACGTGTGCAAAGGCCCAGTGCCATTTTGGTACAGAGTAGGTGATCAGTAAGTACAAGTTTTCCTTCTTACCTCCTACTCAGGTTTTGGTGGAGCCCAAGCTTATAAAGTTGGGATGCGGACATCATTGGGTAAAAAAAAAATATGGAGATATCTGACTTTTGCATTTTTAAAAAAACCTTTGGCCACATGAACACGGCTGGGCCTCTGGGGCTTTGGAAAGAGCCCATGCATGTGAGGGGGCTTGGGACACGAGGTCACGAAATTCACCGTCAGTCTGCCTCCACCTCTACTGTTCTCACTCCCCACCCCCAATGCACACCCTCCCCCATCTGTGGCCACCCTTTAATTTTAGGGGTTTACCCTTGCTGACTTCAGGGAAACAGAGAAAACAAACTAAGAAAGTCTGGGGAAGTTACCCTGCTCATTGTATCTTTTCAACTGTAAATTAATTTAGCTTCCCCTTCCAGGCTCCACCAAGCAGTCCTGGGAAGTCCCATGACTGTCGTGATGTTGCAGACTTGCTCTCGGGTCTCAGACCTCTGAGGGAACCCCAGCCTGTGTCTCTGATCCCCACCCCCCCACAACCCCCTGCCCAGACAAGGTGACAAAACAGGTCATTTTAACTAAATGGGGCATGACAGGGTTGAGTGTTGCTCCAACAATTTCTCTAAGACTCTCTTACTTTGGAAAGGAATGTTCCAGCGTAGTCCCCCCCCCCACCCCGACTCTCCCTTCTCTATATCCCTGCCTAAGTATGGCCAGAGACCTGGGCTGACCACTGGCCTCTCTCACTTCATCCAGCTGGTCTGTGTCTGAACTGCTGGAGCCTGCAGGAGCTGGTCAGCAGAGACCCGGGCCACTTCCTCATTCTCCTGGAGCAGATCCTGCAGAAGACCCGCCAGGTGAGGCTAGCCAGGCAGTGGAGGGCCCAGCCGGTACCAGCCTTGTAGAGTGGAGAAGTAGGTCAGCTCTGGGGCACAAGGACCACCACAGGGGCTTGGTAAAGGCACTGGGAACCCATGAATTTTTTGTATCAATGGAGCTTGTGTATTGAAGGTTTCTAGAAAGGGGTGTGCTATTTTTAGTGTGAACATGTAGCAGGGGCACCAGTGGCCTGAAGTCAAGCCACTTCTTAAGATGGACATTGCTTGTAAGTCAAGGGATTGGAGGGGGTGGGGGAGAAAAGGAGGGAGGGAGCTTTGCTAAATTCCTTTCCTCAAAAAGATCCATGACAACACCGAGGAAGAGAAACTTGATCAGGAAAGTAAACCGAGGCCTCTTCCAACAGTTCAATCCATGGGCTTTTATGAGACAGAAGTGCATTTAATGCAGGACTGTGAGTCCTATTACAGGATTCTGGCTCTTGTATAAAGAATTTGCTTTTAAGTTTTGTTCTGTTATTTGACTCCATGACTGAGTTGGAAGACATGGTTTTCTCTCCGTTGGCCCCCAGAAGAAGAAAGTCTTGGTTTATCAAGGCATGTAGGGTCACAGTTCTGACATCACCACTTACCTGGTGCTGTTATATACTGATTACAAGAAAACCAACTCAAGAGTTAATGGCCCTTTGGAATGCTTCACTTAGAAATCCAAATATAAAGGACCAACTGCCATGCAGCAAGAGAGAAGGGTTTTGTAGAAGGGATCAAACAGAAGTTGTGGCAGACACAATATCTCTTCATGGTAAAGAGAAGGAAAAGTCTAGATTGGAGGCTGCCGAGGCTCTGCAGTACAGAAGAAGTGGTAGGGTTTCTCTGTGCCTCTAACCCCAATGAGATCCAGAATGGGCTGAGGGACCTTTAGTATTTTGACCTCCCTATCCTCTTCACAGGTCCAAGAGAAGGGCACTTATGACCTCCTTGCCCCGCTGGCTCTCCTCTTCTATTCCACTGTCCTCTGTGTAAGTCTATGTGGTCTAGCACGGGAGAGGGAGAAAAGGGAAGAACAGCCTCCACTGGGGACACTGCTCTTATAATAAATAAACAGAGAGAGAAACTGTCAAGTGATGACACTTGAGATGGGTTTCAACCCTCTGGTGCCTTCAGAGCCACCGTCTTGAGAGTCCTTCAGTAACTCCATGTGGCCACCATTGTGCCTGGTGTCTCTGGTTCCTCCTGGCTTCCATGAGGAACTGTGATAGCATGTTCATAAGCCATGAGAAATTTTAGCTCCACCTCATTTTCTACCCCAGTGATCACTTTTGCCCAGTGTTATCACCTCCTGTATTCAGCAGACTGGTGACATAGAATGACTCCACATACGTTTACTCAATCTACCCAAAGAATAAACATTTGCCTCTAGTGAAAATGTTTAAATAAAGCACTGATTATCAATTCCCCAAAGTGAGTGGCAGCAATGGCACCATCTAGAATGACTTCTGAGGTGACAGCTTTTCAGAGAGTCTCTCTCAACTGTTGGAAAACTGTGGTCTATTGGGTAAAAACAAGGTCCTTAACTGTGGGGATATCCTGGGCACCATCTTATCCATCTGTAATTCACTTCCTGTGAGTTAACTATAGTGCCTTCTGCCCTTGTCCTGACACAATGCTCCCAAGAAATGCATGTCCTTTATGGAATATTCCAGAAAGGAAGCAGAGACTGTCCTGGACTATCAGTGAGCTCTTTCTCATCTAGACCTCTCTTCTTGCTGCCCCCTCTCCATTCCTAGACTCCACACTTCCCACCAGACTCAGATCTCCTTCTGAAGGCAGCCAGCACCTACCACTGCTTCCTGACATGGCCTGTTCCTTACTGCAGCATCTGCCAGGAACTGCTCACCTTCATCGATGCAGAACTCAAGGCTCCAGGTTAGTGCTGAGGAGGCCAGTGCAAGGGAGAGCTTATGTGGTCAGGATGATCCTTGCTCTTCTGATACGGTTTTTTTGATCTGACCCTCCTTACCTTGATTCATCTCTACCCATGCCCTGCGTCACAGCCTTAAAGTCTCTTCTTCATGGTGCATGCAGCATCATATGTCTGAGCTTGCAAAGCTAAAGCAGTAAACATGGGAGGTAACACAGGAGGAATCACTGGAGAAAGCTGGAGCACACATTCAGGGCAAGGATGCCCACCACTTGGCCTACACCTCTGCTCCGCTTAGCCAAGGTGTCTCTAAGGTTGTGCAGGTCAGCCAGAGAAGCCATGGAATACTGATAAGAGGTCCTTTCTTATTATTCTGTTGTCCCATGAGCAAAGAGGCTATTGAATCAGTGGGTTGACTCAGTTCTGGCCAGGGAAGGTGGTTGAGGCTAGGAATGGACAGGTTGATGACCAACCACCATGATAAGGGTAGACAAGGATTTAGTACTTCCAAGTTTTCATACATGGGATCTGAAAAGTAGACATTCTTGAGAAATTGCAAATTCTGTGATATATGGGAATGAAGCCTAAGAAAACTATGAAAGCACAAGAGAAAACACAGTCAAGTATGATTTACTGAAAGGTAGCCCCATATAAGAGTAAGTCATGTTACTATTCCAAGGAACAGAGTCATAGAACATCTCAATAACACTTGGCAAACTTCCACACCTATTCCTGATATTCAAAACCCCTCAGTATGGAAACTATTACCACAGAAGTATTTTAAATATGGCAAAAGCCCAAAGTGTAATACTGGAGGCATTTTCCATTAAACTCAATTCTCATTCTGTCTTTGCTTAGGCATTTGCCTATGCAAAAGACAAAAATGAAGACTGTTTCCTCTACTGGAAAAGATAACATTTTAATCATTTAGATCTCAAACAAATGCTTACCTGTCAAGTCTAAGAGAGTCACAGGAGTGAACAACTGTCAGAACTAGAAAACAGGTAGCTTGAGAGCCTTCCACATACCAGAACCCAGGAAGAAGACGTAGCAGAGAAAAAAACCAATGGATAGTAGCAACTAAAAGTATAAAAGAAATGTTAAAATCCACACAAGGAAAACAAACTTTACTGAAGGACAATTAATGGAAGAGACATTATTGGTGAATTGAATCAATATTGTAGTAACATCTCGTTATGAAAGTAAATGTAACCACAATCCAAACACCAGCAAGTTTCCTAAAACTTAAAAAACAACTAAAGTTTGTTTGAAAGAGTAAATGCTCTACAATAACTCTTGTTTATTTACTATGTATTTATTTATAGGTTTGAGGTTTTTGGTTTTTTGGTTTTGGTTTTGGTTTTGGGTTTTTTTCGAGACTAGTCTTGAACTTGTGGTCTTCCTGCCTTAGCCTCCTGAGTGCAGGGTTTACAGGAATGTGCCATCATGCCTGGCTTTTTATATCTTCTTAAAGAAGAGTATGAATGAGATAGTTCCCTTATTCAGTCTTTAAAGGCACCATAGGGCTGTGGTTATTAAGATGGCATGTATTATTGGCATAAGAATAGGTAGATTAATGGAACAAAATATATCTAGAAACAGATTACATATATAAAACTTTATCATTCACCAAGTGGCATCCTTAAATCAGTGATGGAATATGCAGTCATTTAACAAATGGTATAGGGTATTTGGCAGGTCATTAAAATGTTGAGTTAGAATTCTATTTTTCACAAATGGAGATCCATCTCAACCATAAAAGAGCTTGTAGGTGAAAGGTGTAAGTGTGGAAAACAAGATCTTAAAAGCAGTAGAAAGAAACTAGGTTATGAGCTAGACTGGAGAAGACTTGTCAAACACATCCCCAAGACAAAAGTGATAAAGAGTTCAAAGCATAGTACTTAAGGCTTGTACTTGGCAACCCCATAAGTAAAATGACATGACAAAGTAAAAAAATAGTATTTGAGGCAAAAATTAATATATCAAACCCATAAATACTATTTATGAGTCAGTTTGAAACATGGCAAACACACCAGTGGAAATATAAATAAGGACCTGATTCAAGTCTTTCAAAGAAGAACCGTGAATGGCTGAGCAATGCCACCCAAAATATTCACCCTCACTAGTTACAAATATAAAATGAAGGAGTAAGACACTTTTCCCTATCAAATGGGCAAAGATTTTTTTCTAAAAGATGGTGAGGGGCTGGGTTGGCTAAGACATCAGCAACAGGACCCTTTCCCCACATTCCTAGAAGTCGATTCTGCTGAATAACTATGGATGTGCAAAGATTTAGCTACAGGATGTTCATCGATGCCTTCTTCCTAATCGTCAGCCAATGTCAAAAACCTAACTATTGAACATGGTTCGGTATACTGTGGCAAAGTCATTTGGTAGAATGCTATTCACTTATTAAAAATGATATTGTAGCTGGATACAGTCACTCAAGCCTATAATCCTAGCTATTTGGGAGGAAAAGGTTGGGAGGATTGAGGTTTGAAGTCAGCCCTGACAAAAAGTTCACAAGACTTCATGTCCAACAATAAAAGCTCCGTGTGGTGTGGTGTCACATGAGCCTGTCATCCCGGCTACATGGGAGGACTGAGGAAATGCCTCAAGCGGTAGAACACCTGCCTAGCAAGCTCAAAGTCCTTAGTTCAAACCCTAGCATTACCAGAAAAAAAAAAAAAACAAAAACAGCTACATGGGAAACATAAATAGGAGGATCACAGTCCAGGCCAGCCCAAACATAAACATGAAACTCTATTCAAAAAATAACCAAAGCAAAAAGGACTGGAGGCATTGCTGAAGTGGTAGAGCACTTGCCTAGCAAGCACAAGGCCCTGAGTTCAAACCCCAGTATTTAAAAAAAAAGAAAAGAAAAAAAGATATTGTAAAAACAGTTTCTTAGATCAAAAGGCGTTGACTAACTCATTGAGTAAAAAAAAAAGGCAGCCCCAAAGTTGTACCCTGATTTTGTTTTTCCATTAAAATATATTCCTGCTTCAGGACCATTTTAGTATTGGTAGCATTTAATTGCTATCATACACATTAAACACACAGGATAGAAGTTTCAAATCTTATTCTCCAACTCACAAAGCTTAGGTCTGAGGTTCTGTTTATAAATACCTTTGGAAGGCACCATCACCTCCTTCCTCAATCAATCAGCTGATCTGTCTGTTCCCCAACCAGCCATCTGCTGTCTACCAACCAATCAGCTGTCTGCTGTTACAAAAGAGCTGAGCAGATAAGGGATTGGCCAACCCCAAAGTCCACCTATAAAATAATTCTCTTCTCATGCGTTGAAAGAGTTAAGAGATCCAGGATGCCCTGACGAAGAAGACTTAGAAAGGAGCTCTGGCACCTTATAATAGGCAGTCTGCCAACCTAACTTCCCAAGGCACCCTAAATGAACAAAGCAGTTTAATGTCAATCTCTTTCATTCTTTTCTCCCATTGCCCCTCCCTTTTCCCCTCAACAGCTTCTTGCTGTTGACTAGAATTCTTTTTCTAGGAAGCAAACTTTTCTTTCCTTCTATAATTTCAAGAGAAAGAATTCAAAACACAAATGGCTTGGCAGGGCCCTCAGTGTGTACCAAAGATCTAAAGGACTCCTTATTTTGAAGTGGGTAAGAAAGATGATAGGTAGAGGAGGGGTGTCACCTGTGGGAAGACCACTTCCCAATTTCAAGTAGAACCAGATGGCTCACCTCAGATGAATGCACGCTAGGCCTTGAGGTATTTTTGTGGGTGCCTAGGAAGGAGCTCGGTTCTGGGTAGATGTGGAATGGAGGGGCAGGTGGTGGTAAGGCCCAACCCTGTGATGATGAGGAGCTAAGACTGGGTGACAAGAGTCAGGCAGAGTAGCCACTGGAGATGGAAATGGAATGAGGGTCCTCAGAGCCTCACTCATTGCTGAGGCCTTCTTGACATTGCCCCTGGACCATGCAAGGCTTCCTATACCCCGATGACCAGGGAGAGGGCAGATGCCTGGAGAGGGAAATTCCCGCCATGCTGCCCATGCTAGAAACTTCTCCTCTTAGAGGGAAAGCAGAACTGAAATAGGAAACCATTAGCACTCTCTCATGTCAAAGAATCATTTTCAAACAGTTTTAAAATGCACACAAATACTCTTGAAATTGTAGAAGGAAAGAAAAGTTTTGCCTCCTAGAAAAGGAATTCTAGTCAACAGAACCTGTACTGGAGAGAGATTCTACTCATGGCTGAAGGAACAGCCAGGTAGTAGAGCTGGCTTCAAGAAACTTACCTCAGTTTCTCATATAAACTAGAATAAGATGGCAGAATTAGATACAAAAGTAATTGCTATCAGACAGGGGAATAAAACCTTTTTTTTTTTTTTGGTAGTATTGGGAGGTTGAATTCAGGGCCTTGCAGTTGAAAAGCATACACTCTATGGCTTGAGCCACATCTACAGTTCATTTTTACTCTGGTTATTTTGGAGATGAGGGTCTCACAAACTATTTGCCTGGGCTGGCCCTGAACCATGATCCTCTTGATCTCAGCCTCCTTAAATAACTAGGATTACAGGTATGAGCCACCAGTGCCTGAGTGTGTTGGTTATTTTTGAGATAAAGTCTTAACTTTATGCCCAGGTTGGCATGAACCTCAATCCTCCTATTTATACTTGGGCTGGCTAAAACCAGAACTTTTGGGGTTATCTTTTCTACTAAACAAACAAACAAAAAAAAAATCACTTGCCTTATCTCATTTCCACAAGTTAACCTCTACTTTCATGGAAGCTGAGCCTTAATCCATAGCAAGCAGGAAGTTAAATAAAATTACCTCTCCCACATGCCCCTGCAGTAGGCTTGTTAGAAAATGCTTTGGTGTGATTTTGATGGTGCTTATTCCTGAGTCCCTGGCCCCCTAGTAATCCCAGCTGAGGGAGGCAGCAGGAGGAGGTAGGAGATGGCGGGAATGGAAGCCAGTGAACTCAGGCCCTGGAGGAGAGCCAGATGACCACCTGTGCTTGGTACCAGGCCATT